GCTGGAAAAGTGGGGGTCATCTTGTACATGGGGGCGTCTTATTGTCGGAAAAATACGGTAAGCCAAACCTCGGTTGGAGCTACTTAGGAGCAGCCAGCAGGACCTTGCTCTCTATTGACAACAGAATAATAGAATCAAGTTACAGGAAGTCAGTTCAGAAATCTTGAAGGAGCAGGCTCTCCATCTCCATCGTCATTCCATAATTGCAATTTGACCATGGAATCATTCAAATATCTGTCATCTGTTTGGGATGCTTTCATTTGGAATCTACAGCTGAGCAGGGAGGTTGGGCTTGGTGTCCTAAATGACCTCTTCAAAATTGATTCTATAGTACTCCCTTCAAATTTCCCCCATAACAACATCCCTGTGAAGAAGATGGGTCTGATAGATAGTGGCTGGCCCAAAACCACCCAGTGAGTTTCCATGTTTAAGGGTGGATTTAATTCTCAAATCCCCACTCTTAGTCCCACATTTTAATTGGTCACACAATGATCAGTGTGGCTTTAGAATGGCATGTGGAAAACTGCCTATGACAAAGCAGTCATTGGCACCATAGGCTTATAATTGTCCTCAGTGTGAAGTGTTATTGAAATGCAGCATAAGAAGAAAAGTGGAAGGATGCACAAGAATGGCATCACTTTATACCTGATTACAGCTTATACTAAAAGTTGCTTTTTGTACTTCTGCTCCATATCTCCCAAAGGCCAACTCCTCAAAAAACTAGTTTGTATTCCTTACTTGAAAAAGAACTGTGAACTTTTAATTCTAAATAATATTTAAAACTGAAAACACCTAAAAGCCCACAGTGCCACATGACCCTGGCATATGACTCAAAAAGCACACTGAGAGCTAGTGTGGTTCTCAGGGTGTTCAAGGCCGCCCTTAGATAATGGAAGTTCATTGGACGTATATCTCTCAGCCTTTAACCTCATGGGGAAAATGTGGAGGAAAAGTATCACAGTGTCATAGATGTGGAAAGGGTTATTTGGGCCACTGAGTTCAACCCCCTGCTTACTACCGAAATGTTCTAGTTTTCTAAAAAC